ACTCACATAAGAGCACATACACACCTACCAGGGCCCATGGTACAGGGCAATGCGGCTGCTGACGCGGCCACTCGCCCGTTATGGATTTTCAATATGTTATCTCCAATAGAGCAAGCCCGTCAGTTCCATGACAAATTCCATGTCAATGCCAGGACGCTAGCCAACCAGTACCGCATCTCCAGGGCTGAGGCGCGGGACATCGTGCGACTGTGCGGCTCATGCGCCACACACACGCCTGCCATATCAATGGGGGTTAACCCCAGAGGGTTGATCCCTGGCGATATTTGGCAAATGGATGTCACACACATAACAGAATTTGGATCTCTTAAGTATGTCCATGTCTCCACGGACACCTGTTCTCATATTATATTCGCAACTGCAGAGACAGGTAAAAAGGTATCTAATGTGATCAATCACTGCTTAGCGGCTTGGGCCGCGTGGGGCAAGCCCAAAATATTAAAGACAGATAACGGACCAGCCTATACAGAAAAAGCCTTCAATGAGTTCTGTAAGACTATAAAAGTACACTTAAAACATGGGATCCCATATAATCCTCAAGGCCAAGAAATTATTAAAAGAGCTCACAAAAGCCTCAAAGAAATCTTATATAAACAAAAAGGGGGAGTAGGCCAGGGCCTGCCCCCAAAGGCACGGCTATCCATGGCACTATTCACATACAATTTTTTAAACCTGAACAATAACAACCACCCCCCGGCTATGGAGCATTGTAATCCATCTCCTAGCAATAAGGGATGGGTAAAATGGAAAGATGTCCTGACGGGACAATGGATGGGCCCAGATCCGGTAGTCAGCTGGAACCGAGGTGCGGTTTGTGTTTTCCCGCAGGAACCGGGACGAGAACCATTGTGGGTCCCAGAAAGACTGACGCGTGCGACAAGCCCTTCGACTGAAGACTAATCCTGTCCTGCCGGAGACCAGCAGCAGGCCTGACAGCCAGATGAACCCGAAAAAGGCTGCTTTTTTCGTTGGGGGCGTTGTCCTAGCACTCCTCAGGATAAGTATGGTACATGCGGGGCTGGGGGGCCCCGCTTCTGGAATAGATCTTCGCACGAGCCTTCTTGGCAGTCCGTGCGATTGCGGAGGTGGCACGGTAAGCAGTATACCACCTAGCGCCAAAAAAGGACCAGGGACCGATTGTGGGGATAAAACAGCATTCTCAGTTGTGTACCCCTCCACTGCAGGAGGATTTAGTCAACCATCCTATCAGTGCATACTTAAGCCTAAGGTGAGTCCCTCAGGGCCTGGTGATCTCGCCACATGTCCCTGCACTAAGTTTGAGGAATCCATGCATGTTACATGCTATACAGAGACAAAACAATGCAAACTTAAGAGTACAACCTATTGGATGGCAACGCTAACTACAACTAAAAGCCCTGTTGCCCCTAACCATATTCCCGCTGCTGTAGGCAGTTCTCCATTCATGCAGTCAGGTTGTAATGGAGAGGTTGGAGAAACGGTCTGTTGGTCTATGACCGCTCCCGTTCACATCTCTGACGGTGGAGGGGTCCAAGACCAGTACCGGCAGGAACAGGTCATCGAGCGATGGGAACAATTAAATCCGTTCCCTAAAGTCAATTACCATCCACTCCTACGCCCAAAATCCCAAGGCATTAACCTTGACCCCGCTACTGAATCCATATTAGAGGCTACCCACAAAGCACTCAATCTTACTGACCCAGGGCTGGCCTCCGATTGTTGGCTGTGTATGATGATGGGAGAATCATGGCCGCTGGCCATGCCGTTTAGAGACTATAAAAGTGAACCTTACAATTATAGCACACCCTATAATTGCTCACATGGGCCTCCATTTCGGGTCCAGTTTATGGGACAGTTTAATGCATCCTGTTTCCAAAAGTACCCACAAAATAATAGTTATGATATTATTGTTGGAGCGCTGGCAGTCGCCTCGTGTGAGTCCATAACCAATGTAAGTAGTAGCTCGCCGCTATGTGCCCCCTTTGGCAAAGTATTTGCTTGCGGCAATGGACATGCTTATACCTACCTGCCCAGTAATTGGACCGGCCTATGTGGCCTAGCTTACTTGTTGCCTGACATTGGTATTGTCCCTGGGGACCAACCCATGCCCATCCCAGCTGTGGACACCTTTATAAAAAGACATAAGAGAGATGTGCTGATTTTACCTCTCTTGGCTGGTCTGGGGATAACTGGAGCCCTGGCCGCCGGGACTGCGGGCCTAGGAGTTTCATTAACCAAATATACTCAGTTATCCAAGCAATTGATAGAAGACATGTCTATAGTTGAGAAAACCCTTCAGGAGATACAAGATCAAATTGATTCCCTTGCAGAGGTTGTTCTGCAGAATAGAAGGGGCCTAGATCTACTCACTGTAGAGAGGGGAGGTATCTGTATTGCCTTACAGGAAAGATGCTGCTTTTATGCCAACAAGTCCGGAATCGTTCGAGACCGATTAAAGAAACTACAAGAAGACCTAGAAAAGAGAAGAAGAGAACTACAAGACAATCCCTTTTGGGGAGCCTGGAATGGCTTGCTCCCCTATATTTTACCATTGTTAGGTCCCCTGTGCTCCTTGCTTCTGCTCTTACTTATAGGACCATGCTTGCTCCGATGGGTCACATCATTTATTAATGGGCGCCTTGCGGCGGCCCGGCGTCAAGTACGCCTGGTTGCCCATGCGGCCCTGGCAGCAGCCCGTGATGGGCACAATGACCCCCAGGCTTACGCATGGCTCGCTCGACTGGCCTACGACCGGGTCTAGATGTGGCGGGTCTTCCGCACTCCTTCCCTATTGACACTACACAGCAGGGTAGGTGAGTCAATGACGGGTAAGAGCGTGCCTCCCCAGCACGACTCGACCTAAGCCAGGCCCTACCCCATACTGCACGAAAGCCGCTGGATTACTAGAATCTGCCCAGATCTAGATGTCTCTCCGAGGGGATCACACGGAGGGGCATGAGTGCATGCCTATGTGCATCCAGGTTCCGTCCAGTTCACTCCTGGCCCTGGAAAAAAGACGAGGGTCTCAAGGCCTTGGTGGACCCGGGGACGGCCGACCAGGGTCCAAGCCAAGGGCCTACGGTGGGCCTCAACACAGGGCATAAGCCTCTGCACTCGATCCAGGGCGGGCTGCGATGCATACATTCATTCAAAGTAAATAAAATAGGGGGAGATGTTGGGAGCCGCGGCCGACACCGGTCGCCTTACTTGGCGGACGTAGGGCCTGTAGGTGGGAGCGGAGCCTGAGCTAGATTGCCCCTCCCATCGAGTGAGCCAAGTTGGCGCCTGCTTCCTGCCCCCTGATTGCCCTGGCGACTTAAACAACCCGCTCTGTAAGATAGTCTGCCTAGCAACAGCTGATGTTAGCCAGTCAGCCCGCATCGCGCGCTTTGAACTGATTGGCTACTGTTGCCCTATAAAAGTGAATGCCTCTCCCGCCACGAGGAGGAAGCACAGAGAGAGATAGAGAAAGTCCACCGGCGAGAAAGGGCTGGTGACAGAGCGGAGGCCTCGCGGGGCCCACGCGGAGACAAATAAAGGCAAGATTACACACCGTCAAAATCTGTCGCGTGTTCTTCCTGCAGGCCGGGAGCGACACCGACATTTTATTAAAGAAAGTACAACACTTGCAAGAAGGTAAGATTGCGTCATTCCGTCAAATAAATCTTTAAATACTTTACAAGCTGAGAGTTAAAATGAACTGCAATATTTAGATATAAATTATTAAATATTAAACTACCACTTGTAAGACTGAAACTAAGAAGAAAACCCGAACTTAAAAGAGCAACGTAAAATGCACAAAAATAACTTGAGCTAACTTGGTATCAGACAGCTGTCAACTTGTGAACAAGTAAAACTTACCTTAACATACCCACTAGCATTTCACATATATTGGCTTGGCTCTGCCACTTAGGGTGTAACCTTGGACAAATTATTTAACCTCTCTGGATCTCAATTTTTGTACTAGTAAAACAAAACTAAAAATGCTACCTACCTGAGTATAATTCTTAGACTTAAATGACAAGGCAAACTATTTTGAGCAGCTTGGGGACAGGCTAAATGTTCACTAAAGGAGAACTGCGAGGATGATATTCACACCGATACACAGGTCGCTTGAAGTCACACCCATGACACACTATCTTTGAAACCTTCACAACCTCTGAGGTACAGTGCTACACACCCAAAGGGTGCTCAACATTTACTGATTGAGGACTAACAGCCTATATGGGATCTAGAACTTCAAAGCTGCATGTTATTCAGTCTTTAATTTAACTCGGGCAGGAACAAAAACTTTCCCTCAAAAAAGCAATAGAGCAGTTCTAATTACCACTATGTTCCTTTTTGAAGATTTCACTGTACCAATTACTGCCTCTCAAGTGTTTCTGAAAGGCTAATTCACTAGAGGGCATCATGGATCAGGAGAAATCATATCAGACATAACCCTTAAAAGGAAAGAAACATTCAGCATTCACTCCTACAGAAATATTGTGCCTAGTCATGCAAAATATGTATGTTGATTTTTAAATTATTCAACTTAATCTACATTAAAATATTCAGGAGGAATTAAAATAAAGATTCTGATAAAACGGTAATATCATAATTACATGCCCTGGTCTATGGGTAAGTAATTAAGATTATTAAAAAAGTCTGAGTTCTTTCCAACCCTACTGCATACCTCCCAACAATTTTATTCGATTTTAACGTTTATAAAAACAAAGCAGCGCCTCATTTCTCCGAGCACCTGCATTCCACTCAAGTGTGTCCTATTCTTGATTTATAATTAACCTTCTCAAGTTTCTTTTAAAAGAAAAAATATAGTGGCAATGATTTGTGTGCATTATATTAGTCTGATGAACTAAGATAGTTTCTCCTATATTATTAAAATATACATTACTTTATATAATGATACTGTGATACTGAAACAGTGATACTGAAAACTATAATAAAGTTATATTTAATTTTTAAAAAAGCAACGCATATAGGCCAGGCATGGTGGCACATACCTGTAATCCCAGGATTCTGGGAGGCTGAGGCTGGGGGATTGCAAGTTCAAGTCCAGGCTGGGCAACTTTGTGGGACCCTGTCTCAAAATTAAAATACAAGCGCTAAGGACATAGCTCTATGTGATATCCTTGGGTTCAATCCCAAACACGTCAGGAAAAAAAGCATACAAGGGTATTTAGCTCAGTGGCCTAAGGGCCTGCCTGGCAAGCAATGAGGTCTTGAGTTCAATCCCCAGTACCAAAGAAAGCATACAAATTAGACGGCATTTTTTACTGTTCTTTGTGGGCAGACTCCAAGTCACCACAGTTATTAAAAAAAATAAACAGAGGCAGCACTAAGAGAAAATTACCAACTTCTATAAGACTAAAAACATTTATTCATTAATCAATTATTTTAAAAACATTTGTCCACTAATAAGCCAATGTTTCAAGCACAAAATTTATCAGGCTTTGAGAGGGTCCCAAAGATATGTACTCAAATATCCTACAACTCTGCAATTCACAATGACATATAGAAAAAACATGAGAGAAAACCTGATCTTTATAGTACATAAACACACAGTATCCACCTAGAAGGAAGGATTGCTAATCGTTACAAAGAAACCAGGCTCATGAGTATCCACCTTTTGCTAGACCTCCTCCCCACCTCAGGGCAACTTGTTTCTGTCTTGTTTTTTCCTCCTTGTTAATAAACTGTTTTCAAACTGAATGCAGATGTCTTGTGCTCTCAGTGAATGACCTGGGGATGACAACGCACAACACATGCACCACTGCTGTCCCGCCAACTGATGTGTTTTGAAATTTTGTTGTAGTTATTTTCCTCCTCTTCTTTTTATTTTTCTTTTTATTCTTGAGTAAAATGGATTTGAAAAAAAATAAATAAGTAAAGTATTTCTTAAACTCCATCCCTAATTCATGACTGGTGCTGAGTTTTCCATCCTGGTTAGCTGCTCATCTGGGACCTGACAGGTACAGCTGCAGAACAATCAAACGGGAGAGGTGCACAGGGCAAAGTCAGAGGAGAGGGCACAGGAGCGGAGCTGCCACACTCTCCTCAGGAAACACAGGCTCGGTCTCTGCCACATACATGTTCACCAGCGTTACATGCTTTTTATATGGCGTGTCATTACCTCTACAAAACTGATTGAATTACTGGCCACAGACTGACTGAACCCAACATCCAAACCCTCTCCCCTTCTGGGATTACAGGGTGAGGGGCTGCAAGGACTGACCATCTAATTTCGGTCTTTCGGAGGTGGATAGCCTCTCTATTGAAACTTAAAGCCCATCCAGGGTCTTTTCATTAACACAAACTCAGGTGTGGTCAAAATGGACTCATTATCCAGAATAAAAGACACATAATTATCATTCAGAAAATTTCAAGGGTTTTTGAAGCTCAATTGTCAGGGACCAGGGACAAAGATCATATTTTTTTTTTTTTTCCTTTTAAACACAAGGTCATTTACCAGTAGTCCAGGCTGGCCTTAAACCTGAGATACTCTTACCTCAGGCTCCCACAGCGCTGAGATGACAGACATATGCTACCACACCAGCTAAGATATATTCTTTATTATGCCACATTAACAATAAATAGAAGCTTGTATTTTAGAAGCCAACGTGTAGAACACTGAGACAATACAAGTAAAAGAAAAGGGGAAAACACTGCAAAAGAAGCTACAGGAAAAAAGGCTGGGAGCAGTGTCCAAACGGCCTCCACGTGTTCAAGCCGCACCGTTAAACACACACAGACACCTCCGGACAGGAAACTGAGCACGGGACTGAGAGATACTTCAGTTTTAGAGTGTTGAGGCTGAAGCTGACAGCTAGGGAGGAAACACGGAACAGATGGGACCAGGAGCCCAGGGACGGGAAAGGCCAGGGCTACGATGATTATCAGAATTACCTACACAGTTAAGCTCCCCAGCAGAAAGCTCTTACTGCCCCAAGAAGCTACCAGCGAATGGCCAAGAAGGCTGGTATGCGCCCCACAAGACTCAAACGCCACGTTTCTCTGTCCGGCATAAATGTACGTTCTGAACTCTAAAATATACTCCACTTAATATTTTGGACTCTAAAAAAAATAATACCCAATTCCTAATGTAAATGTTATAAGCATCTGGGTTCGACAGAAATATTATAGGGAGACAGGGAAGGCTACGCCCTGGAAGGAGCCAGTGCGAAGACCAGATATCTGGCAACCTTGGAGGAAACAGACACTTCTGCTGTGGGCCAGCTCTCAAGACAAAAGGTAAAACAAATGCAGCCACACCCTCAGCATGAACTTCAGGGACGGAAATCTAAATAGGCATTAATCACCTGGAGGAAGCCAGAAAGAGCCACTAACCCAATCACTTACCAACAAAGACCCTGATGTGTACTCATGCCCACCAGCTGTGTGACTGCCTCTCCACTGATCCTGATTCAATCAATTTGACCTGCGCAAATACACGAATACTCTTCCTGGCTGACCAGAGCTCTGTCCCACCTCCTGCCAGGCTGCCATGCGAGTTCCCATTTTTCCCCACATTGGTCCCACCTCACCTTGTGGTTTAGCTCTATAAAAATCCTTAGCAAAGACACTTTTGTTTTTGTTTTTGTTTTTCTGTTTTGTTTTGGTATCAGGGATCCAACTCACTTCACGCTTGCCAGGCAGGTGCTTATGCTGCTGAGCTAAATTCTGAGCCAAGACAGTCTTTGACAACCCACTGAGGACCCCTCTGTCTCTCTCGGACAGACACTTTCTTTCTCTCAATAAATATATTCTGCTCTTAACCTCTGTTGCTTCTAAAATTCATTCTTTGGTTTTAGAGAGCACAAACTCATACCGGACATCAAGCAGGTTAGGAGTTTCATTCCTCTATGTCATACAGATTCAAAAAGAATCACGTTTTGTCCTGTAACAGAAACGTATTTTATTTTCTGTCAACAGGAAGCTTGTGATACATCTAACAAAAATACAGTAAATGTTTACTTTTCAAAGAAAAGGTTATGGAGGAACAGAACACTTCAACAGAACATAAACAGCAACCACTATAATTTCAAAAAGCTTTGTGTCCAGGTACTTGAAGCTAGAAAAAAGTATGAAGCATGGAAACCAGTAGAGACTTACCCGGCCCTGAGAGTCCTGCTTTTACAAGGTATGTTCTGCAGCAGAAACTGCCTTGCTACTTGCTCAGGGATTCAGAAGCATCAGTTTATTTTTCCGCGGAACACACATATTATCTCAGCCTTTTGTTGCCAGCTTCCCAGATGAAAGTCCCAAGTCAAGTCTTTCAGAACCTGTAAACATGACAAACAGAAGAGAAAAAAAAAGAGAAGGCAGAGTTGGGGACACCACGCTGGGCTAACCAGACAGTTCACAGTGTCAACAGGGTAGAAAGGGCACCGAAACACTCAAGCACCACTGATGGGATCAGTGCAGGGCACCCAGGAGGCTGGAGGACCGAGCTAGCGCATGCTTAACACAAGAACGCCAGTAAGTTGAGGCCAGAGCCCAATTTGCGTCCACCCTGCAAGCTGCAGGGAGAGAAAGAGGCTGGAATACTTTGGCCAGGCCCATGGAGCTGTTCTCACAGACAGCAGCTTCCCAGAGAGAATTTAAATAGCAGGGACAAAATCTGAACCTGGATCCTAAGCAGAGAAGAAGTGGGTAAGAGGAAGCTCCTTCCTAACACATTAAACACACAGCACACAAGAAAACCTCTGAGATTTCCTAAACTGAATTACAAGGACTGGAAGATACAGAAAGAAAGAGATAAGGGAAGTTAATCAGTTAACAAGTGAAACCAACAAAACTTTCACATTTTCATTTCATATACTGGAACTTTGAGTTTTTGCGAAGGTTTTGTTGTTGCTGTTGTTTTGCGCCAGGAATCAAACTCAGGACCTTGCCCTTGCCAGGTGGGCGCCATGCCACTGAGCCACATGCCCACCTGAAATTTTGAATTCTTTAACAGACTGTTCAAATGCTCTGTACTTTTATTCCCAATCAATCCATAAGCAACAATTACTTCACCTCTGTCCGTCTATCCCAAAGCTTTCCCACTTTTACACAATCACACCCTTCTTATGTACAGCAAAAATTGTTTCTATATAAACAACTTACGCCTTTCTTCCCCAATTCCCTTTATTAAAAGACATCATCGTCCTTAGCTCTGGTTGGGCAAGTAAATTTCCAACTATTATCTAGCCCTGTGGTTGGTAGTCACTGAAACTTACCCTAGGATCTGGTCTGTTTTCTGGCTACTCTCTGTAATGACTCAATAAACCCTTTTATTTCAGAGATCCCACCATTTCAAAGTTTTGTTTTATGTATTCAAATGTCAACACAGGGATCCAAAGACTTTTCTAAAAGAAAAAAACAAGCATGACCACACTCTACCTATTTTCTAGGTACTGGTTCTAATGCCAAATTACAAAGACCATTTTAAGTTTTTATTCTTTTGGTTCTGGGAATTGAACTCATGACTTTGTACTTGCCAGGCAGGGGCCTATGCTATTGAACTATATCCCCAGCCTGACCATTTTATTTTATATAAAACTAAATATGTTCTAAGGGCCAACTATTGCTTTTGTTTACATATGTACTTAACTTGCTTATACCAAAATGAGTATTATTCAATAAAAATATGCTATCTATAGGTAAACTTATGGTTTATACGAGGCATACCCAATCCATCACCCTTGGGCTGCATGTGGCTCTGAACACCTAGTAATGAAGCCCCATGAGACTATAAACTTTTTAACATTATTATATGATATTTAGCAATAATTGTCATAGATTGATTATAAGGTGCTGGAGCACAGACTGCCTAAGTGACAACAAAATGCTATGAGGGGACAGTCTAACTCCACCTCCTGTGCCTGCCCACACTGCTGAGCTGAAACCAGAGTTATCTGATTACATGCACTGTGCTACCTGGATGAGGAAAATGCAGTGATTAGCAGTAGTCTTTCATCCTACCTACGAGGACGCGTGCCTGTGAAGGAAACTGTTTCCTGTTATTAATCAGACATCTAAGTTCCCTTATTTAATTATTAAACTTCAGTTTATGCTATTTCATAAAATAAACTGAAATATTTTTAGCATCTATGCTACAAGAAATACAAAAACAGATCAAATGTTTCTTCACTCCTGACACTGTTATAATTATATATACAACACCAATGCTAAAAATGTTAAAAAACGTAAAAAATAAAGGAAGTTTGTAACTTTACACATTAACTATATTACATATTTTGCATGTAGCCCAACACAATTCCTTATATGGTGGGAAACTTACGACTTATATACTAGACTTTGCACTGAGTCATATTTTCATTGACATAGCATAAAAGTAACTAGGAATGCCACTGACCTGTGTCACGCCCCAACTCACTCGGAATCAAACCCCACAGCAAGGAAGTAGGAAAGATGTTGTACACAACAGCTGGGCTTTATTCAAAAACTAATCAAAAGATTTTTATATCTAGGGACCTAAAATCAATACAAGAACCCATAGAGTTTGAAAATCTCGGAGATTTTAACAACTTAACAACTACAGATCACATACCAGGGGAAACAAGCCATTCAGATCTCCTCCTCCTATGGAAGAAAAATGTCAGCGGGTTTGAGTTTTCTGGATGAAAGCCTGAATGGCAGAGAAGGGAAAAGTAAAGGATTAGGGCTTCTTAGAAGAGAGAGGAAGAAAGAAAGCAAAACACTGGGCTCCTTCTTGATTTGACTCCATAGACTTTGCAAGTTCATGGTAGCGTCAGCTGTCACTTGGTCAACCACTGGAACAGCACAGCATGGCACATATCCCCAGCCACCCAAAAAGGGAGCCAGGGCGACAGGAGGACTGAGCTTATGCCCTTCAGTTTTTTGAGAGAAAAGGAGAGCAGTCTAAAGAGCAGTGTAGAGAAATGCCCTCAAAATAACTCTGGGTAGGCCCCACAGATGTGCATGTTTTTTGAGACAGCTCCCTCCAGTGTGACCTGCAAGCCGGTTCTCTCCACTGTCTCAGGATTGATTGGTTTCCCACGCTGGCTGCATGAGAAACTCTCCTTGAAACATGGATGGGCGCTGCATCCTTACGTAGGTCTCCCTGGAAGAGCAAGGATTTCCAGGGTCCAGTTTAACCCAGAGGTAGGGCGTGGTACTAACTACAGCAACACTTAGTGAGGCTTGGAGGGTGCCCCACCCCACCTCTTTCCATTTTTGCTCTGAGGGAAGGGAAAACACTTCTCTTGTCTTTGGTGCTTTTATGTGCAAACACTCATTTTCTACAGGCTTAGGAGTCTTTAGTGGAAAAGAAGAAAATAAAAAGAGTCTACAACTGCAGAGGGAAAGAAAGAGTCAAGACAAAAAGAAAAACTATGCTTTGGAAACAAAGGGGTTGGCAGAAAACTATAGTTCACAGGGCCAACAGATGGGGAAAAAATGAAGACAAAGAAAGAAAATAACTAAGTTTATCCACCCCGAGGCCTCCTTCTAGGCCCCTTCCTGGTTCCTAGAATACCTACTGTGATTTAGGTTTGTATTTCCCCATGGCGAATTCTAGCAATCATGCTTTCCTGTGCTTATTTGCATTTTTGTTTTCTTTGGGAAATGTTACTCAGACTCCTTACCCACTTTTAATCGAGTTATTTATCTTTTTTTTAGTGAGGAGGGGCTCTTTATACGCAGCATCTAGATAAAAATCCCTTACAAATAAGATGCAAAAAATCTTCACCACTCTATAGGTTTTTTAGGTCAAAGGTAAAGATACTTGATTTGTAAATGTTAATTTGGACCTATTACCTTGTTGAACTCACTCCCAAAACTAGAAGGTTTTTGAGATGTTAGCTCTTAGGAGTTTTTATGCAAACCTTCATGTCATCTGCAAATAGGAACACTTTTCTCTCCTTTTCTTTTTTTTTCTTTAACTCCTTACAAAACAGACACCGTAAAGGCATGCAGTAAATCTTCCATGCCTGTGGAGTTACAATGTCTTTCCCCAAAAGGTCACCTTTAGGTTAAACTTTAAAAACTTGGGACCAATTTAAGATAAAAGATTTTAAAAAGCCGATTTTTCTCTAAAGGTGAACTACAGAGTAAAAGGACAAAACTTCAAAGCTCTTTTCTCATCCTTCTGATTCTTACTGGTTAATTAACCTACAGGAAAGGTGCCTAGAATAGCTTACCAATAAAGGCATTACAGTTTTATCATATAAAGCTTACATATGACTGGGTTGCTGTATGTTTCTGTGTGTCAATTTTCAGGTGTATGTTTGACTTTAGTTGTTTTATAGATAAATACACACTCACAACATAACCCAAATACTTTTTTGTTCATATGGCTTACCACTGAGTTAGTAAGATAAAAATAAAGATATTTTTAAAGTTGGTAACATATTTTCATTGATGTCAGCCGACTGAAATAATACCAAAAAAACTGGTTTTACACATGCAATGACTACTGTCATTTGTGTGCAGTAACAAAGAATCTTCCTCTGGTAAAAGATAGAAATACGTAGATACACTATACACACATACATAGGGCTGAATGATTTAGTTCTCATGAATCATCTAAAGCAACTGTTAACATATATTTAAGTTGGCTATAATTAAAAAGGTCAAGCTTCCATGACTAAAACAATAAGGTTTTTCTTAAGATATTAAAATGCTTTTGGCTAACCTTACAAAACTTTATTAAAAAGCAAAGGTTCTATATTTTACTAAAATAGTTTCCTGTGTTTTTCACTGCTAGACTTTTGGTTACTAAAAACGGAGTTTAAGAGTTGACTTCTAAAATATTTTCAATAATTAGTTTATGATTCATTAAATGAAAATTGACCTTTGTCTATGACTCAATCTATATATGAGACTAGAGGTACATCAAAAAACAAAATAAGCTTTAAAGTTATGTTTATATGAAGTTAAACTATGTAAGTTTAATATATTCAAAAATTAATGTATTCTCTTTTACAGAATATATATCTAAAATTTAAGTCATACAAAATGATAAAAAAATTTTGGCATCACTTTAAATTTGGCCCCACTATTTAAAACAATCTACATGTATTGGCACTGATTAAATAAGCATTTTGTTATTGTATAAATGAGATGCATTTGTATATTCAGTCATTAACATTGTTTCCTGAATTTATAAGAGCTCTATAAAGATGTTCTTTAATTCTTGTCCATGCATGTATAACCTATAAACCTGTTCACAGAAATGTACACTGTGCCTTAAGAGTAAAAACTAAGTAAATATATATATATAAAGATTTCTGTATAGCTGTGACCCTAATTATTG